CTAATGAAGTTTGTTAATTCCAACAATTATAATTATTGTATTAATTGTATTGTTGGTTACATATATCGCTTTGCATTTTCTTTGAGATAATGGAACATTTGAAATTGTTTCTATTCCAAAGACTGTTAGAAAAAAAATGAATATAAACTCAAAGAGATTCGAATTGAAGAAATGATTCCCTGATTTTTATTCTTGGCCTGGTTGCTGAGAAAAAGATATTCACAAAATTTCTTTCGTACACAATTACATATCTGTACGTTCATTTATCCATGCGTCATTCTTTTTTCATATTTAAGTATCTACTAACAAAATTTTCATTCTCACACAAATTCGATTAAAAAAATGAAGAGAAATCCATACACCATCAAAGATCCTTTATCATCGACGTCAACACTATCATCAACATCAAATAACACGCAACTTAATAACATAGCAATGTCACTCTCCTTAGCCTTAAATGCACTCTTAATTTCATATTCTCTTTTGCTCATAATTTATCTACTACAACCGGAAGGGGGATTATTAATCACGAAACATGAGAAATCCGTGATTCTGCTGGTGACCGCATGTGTCATAGGTTGTCTCAGTGGTATACCTTTCGTTTATCAATTCTCGAGAAAAAGATTGATGATACAGATCGAGAGAACTTTGCCAGAAGAATTATTGAGTTTAACAATTTTTGTCTTTTTTTTTATCGAGGTATGATATCATGTTATTATCTCTATTGTCAATATAGCTACGGTATTCACACTCTTCTTTCTTCATTTTCCAATTCACCTTTATTAAGACCATAATTTATATTAACCTAACAACCAAACCACAAGTCACCGCTCTTCGCTATTTTTACGTCATATTATTTTACATTTATCATCATCTATTCGATAAGCAACGCAGCAATCCTGAAAAAGTTGGAAAATCGAATAATTTTATTCATCTATTATCTTCCCTTTCGATGTCGCCTTCAAACGTTGACAAATCTACTTCGAACAACTCAAAGCCAACGTTTTCTAACATAATATCATCTTCGGTGTTGCGTATCATACAATCATGGTTATTCAAACTTAAAAGTCCTAAAGCTGTGCGAAACATCTTATACACTGACGAAGAATTGGAAAATCTTTTGAATGACCTTGCAAATAAACAGGCGTCGAGTCGAAGGAACAAAATCAACCGGAATAAGAGACAAAGTGATTCAGGTAGTGAAGAAAGTAGGAATCAACTATCTACCATTCACGAAGATGAGGAAGAATTTGATTTTGACGATGATCAAACGCTTTTAAGTTCGAAAGAATTTGAGTGTGAATCAACAACCAAAGGTGATGAGAATCGTGAACGTAGGGATAGTGGATATGAAGAAACTTCAAGCGAATCTGACACGCAATCACCAAAGTCATCACGTGTCACGTTGAATAACAAAATGACATTTTTTTATAGATCCATGAAAGACATGGAGAATGACGAAGGTGGTGATAGTAGTCATGAAAAATCGCTTCTTTCCACAGAACATTCACATGACAGTTTGCCAAATGTTGGAGGGGAGGCGATTTTTTTTTATAGGATCATGAAGAGCAGGAAAGTTCAAACATTGTCTATCGAACGATCTACTATTGGATGTTTTTAGGTAGTGTAAATGGATAAAATTTTTTGTGGGGTTTTTTGGTGTAATTTTGTAAATATTTGTTTTGGGTACTACAATGTGACTACTTTATATTCTTTTTACCTAATTAATTAATTAATAAATAAATAAATACAATAATCGAATGATTTTAGTGTCGTTATCAGTGTGTGTGTTCGTCTCTCAATTAAATGCTTTATCGACAACTTTTTTCCAAAACATGCTAAAATCAACGCTACATCCAATTGTGCGCACCTTTCATCCAAATCACACTGTAAATACAGTTATACGTTCAAAGAATGCAAATTTACGTTTCTACCCTTCTAGAGTATTCTCCTCTTTACCCCCTCCCAAAGGCACCAATCCATCCCCTGATGTGATAAATTTTGACCCGGAAACAATTGAATTAATTCGCACTCTTTTGCAAACTCCGGGAAATAGAAACATTCTAAAATTTAAGTATGACGCTTCCAAGATCGTCGACGAGGCAGCTGTTCTGGTGGTTCGTCAATTTGTTCTACATCTTGTTTTTTTCATGGCGTGACGAAATTTTTCTAAAATTTTCGGTAAAAATAGCCACTTTGCATAGCGGATCAAAAACCAAGTGTCTTATTTACCATAAGAAGCCTAAACTTAAAAACTCACATGGGAGAAGTAAGGTATATCATCTTCTTACAACAAGCGACCTTTTGAAAATTCAAATAATTATTACATTAAAAAACAAAATGATCAAGTTTCCCTGGTGGAAAAAAAGACCCCACAGATTCAACATTAA